TTATGTACGAGAAGCTGCAAAAGACACAGGCGCAAGTGGAATGTACAAAACATGGTGACATTAATTTTTAAGTAAATATAATGGGCGATATATTGCGTCACCAAAAATGATTGAGGTCATGTACATATATTGCGCGATAAGTCGATATATTGATTATTGCGACAGGCCTATTCAGTGGCATAAAATGGTCTTTAATATGCCAATAATATTGCTTATTGCAATTATTTCTGGGACAATATATCGCACAACAAAAAGTTGTTATCATGACAGGTCTACTGACAAGCTGCGCAAAACCACATTCATATATGATCGTGGTTTTGCGCAGCTTGCCAGTGAACAACGGCTCTGTACATAAAATGTCACAGAAAATATCACACAAAACAAAATGTTCTGTACACACTGTACAAGATCAGTGACTGTAAAATTCTGTGACAGTGCAGCACTGGACCAGTTGGGCACGTGACAGTTTAATCAGCTAAAAAGTCTCTAACACTATCAGAAATCATTCTAATATGCTGATTTGCTGCTCAAAGTGTTCAGTTTTCCTTCTTTTTTGCCTTTAGCCAATCACATGCCTGATTCAAGAAGGGGGTCTCAAAAACCAAAAAAATATTTTTATTTTTAACTTATTAATTTTAGGTTCAATTGTGCTTTGATGGTAATGTCTGCTAGAATGTTATAAAATGTTCAGTGTTAAATAAATATTTTTAAATTGTTGTTTTGTAATTGATTTCTTCTTTGAAAAGCAAGACAAAACGGTAAAAGGCACATTTTGGCTATTTAATTTATGCAATGGCAAACAAATTGGCAAAAACATGAGGAAAAAAGCAAACAACCATGTTCGGTATTCGGCCTTCAGCCCAGTGTTTCATTTTGTTTGTTTCAGCTTCAGCCAAGAATTTTTATTTCGGTGCATCCCTGATTTTTAAAAATGACATGCATAATCTTTTTAGGGGAACTTGAAAAATGTTGTTTCAAAAAGCACCTGTCTAATGTTGTCAAAAAGCCTGACCATATGTGTGCGAATGTACACTAAATGAATGTCACATCAAAACAAGCAGAATGAAACCACACACCTGGATCAGGTTGAATACTGTTATCCAAGCTCTAGAAGATGATGCTTCAGATTACATTAAAGCATAACAACATACAGCTTTTCTGTCTCTTATCCCCATGTCAGCAAGTACAAAACCAGAGCACTAAAGTCATGTTTTCAGCTCACTGTCAGTTCGGAGCTGAAATGTGCAACCTGACTGTCATCACAGCACCATCATTCCTTCACGAATCACAACACTGACTCCTCAGCAACAAACACATCTACTCTGCACACTGCTTACAACCTTTCACGTTCAAACGGCCTGAATTTGTCATTCCCAGCCACTAAATTCATTTACAAACTCTATCGCTCGATTCATGTCACAGTTTTCAACCAACGCAAGGTTACTGAAACATGTCAGATGCAAAAAGAATGACTTGCATACCAGACATTCACAAAGATAAGGTCTCAAAAAGTCTTAAGAAATATGTTGATTTTGTTCTGAATCTCAACGTTATCTGTCCAAATCGATGCGTGCTGAGGTTACAGCTAAAAACGATCGAGAGACAGACAAAAACATGGTCAAACACACTTGTCAATCAGATAAAATAACATGCCATTTATATAATCAGGTATTATACGAGTTCACTGTCACCACTGGCTCATCACTGTAATATATTATTCAAACTGAAATGAAAGGAAAAGAAAATCTGTGTAAGTTACAGCAGAAGCGCCACATATGAAGCCTTAACTTTTTTTCAGGCAAGTTTTACTTATGATTTTCACTCGAAACTGTATGTGACCAATGTAGCGAGCATGTGTAAGTAACTGGATTGTTTTCTGACCATCCAATGGTATGTTTGTAGCTAACGCGGGCTAACACAGCACAGCACCGAGCATGCCCTCCCACAACAGCTGCTATGTAGACACGAATTACATCGTTACATCAAGGAAATGCCGCGATTTGCCCGACCGCCCATCTATCAATCGTTTTTTGCAATATCTGGGGCAAAACGTCAGCCACTTCTGCTTGTATTCAGTTTCGTGTCTCGTTTACAGGCTAGCATGCTAACTAGCCTAGCGTCTAGCACTGACAGCCAATGTTAGTCGAACAACATTCCGATAAACCACATTCGCCCTCAATGATAGAAACACGGACTCGATCGCCAGTTCGAGCCTGAGAATCTCCAGATTTTACTCACCGTAAGTATTGGGCGCAGAGGTTCATCCTGTCGAATCGCCAGTCTTTTAGACAACGACAGGTTCACAAGCTAAATCTACTCCCGGCGCCATATTGTCCATCACATCGTCATTGGTAGAAAACGGTCCAGACGTACACACAAGAGCGCGCTGAACTACGTCACAGACCCCGCCCACTCGCTCACGTACAGTAATTACTTTTCATAAATATAGCTTGTCCAAATCCAGACTGTGCATTGTAGCAAGACTAAATACTTGAAAGACTAATGAGTCCATACAGTTTGACCTCTTATACTATTTTTGTTGGTCTATCAGCGGGGTAGGTAAAATTCTACCACATCCAGTTCTCAAAAATCTTGTGAACAAATGTTGTGTATGTGTTTTATGGCCTTATTTCAGTGACTTAAAATTTTTAGTTTTTTACTAACCATGCATAAACTTTATTTTCTAAAAAAAAAAAAAAAAATATGTACATTCATGCTGCTACATAGGCTATTATTGTAGCCCAGTTTGTGCTGATTACAGTGTAATCAGACTTTAGTCATTAATATGTTTTTAAGATACTGAAAAAAGCACAAATTTCAGGGCATGTCAAAACTTCTCCAGGGCCCCGAAACCCCCTCAGACCCCCGAGGAATACTGTTCCCTCCTAGTGGAATGACCTGCCCATCTCAATTCGAGCAGCTGAGTCATTAGCCATCTTCAAGAAATACTTATAGCCTACAAATTGTATTACAGACAGTTTCAACCCAAAAAATGCATAATATATCATAATGATTTGTTAAACTGAGTTGTTTGCCCCGTTTGAGAGCTTTAGAGCGCTTGCAGTTGATGAGTCACACTGTGACTGTAGTGCTTCCATATTCAAATGCCTGTCATCAAGGACAGTGTTCGTCGTGCTGATAAACACATCACTGATGCAATGCCAAATATGTGAGGGAAAAATTTTAATCTAATTCTTTACAAGACTCCAAATAGAATACAACTAGGGCTGAACTAAGGGAAAATGGCATTGATTTAAAACTGCACAGAGGTGTAAATTTCTATATTTGCTGTCAAATAATTCATTACATTTATTCATTGACTGTAGCAGATGCTATTATCCAAAGTGACTTACAGATGAGAATAATACAAGCTGAAGCAGTCCCAAAGCAGTCCAAGCAGCCTGGTTTAGCAGCTGGACTTTTAATTACATTTGCATAATATATTGGACAGTATGTGCTAATAACTAGTTATGATTGGTTTGAGAATATTCTGAGAGAGACTAATCCAAACTGATCCATGATTCACTTCTTAGAGCCATAGGATCTTTAGTCTGCGACAGAGGCAGTCAGTGTTAATGAGGGCCACTGGCTTGTCTCTCTTGGCTGCTTGTCTGCACATGTGTGTATTGAATGTATTTTTAGTGTTGACAGACATGGGTTGCAAATGCAATTTGCCCACAGGGGATGCCATTCTGCTCTACACTCTAAGAAAAGTCTGTAAAAAATAAGGCACAATGTGTTAAAGGAATTTTCCATATTGATTTTTCACAGGTGTTTTACTGTATTTCAAACAATGCATTGTTGTGTTTTAGAGTCTGTAAATAGACAGACTTTTTCTTACAATGTTGACATTAATAAATGATCTTTTTTTATTTTTTGTTTTGTTTTTAGCAGCTGCGTGGGATCATAGACTATTATAAAAGGAAAGCTGCGCAGCTGTTCAGAAACAACTGTTTGTGTCCATTTCTGGCATACAAGCTTGTAGCCGATATTTCTCACCCAATTATGTGTCTCCGCTAATATTTTTTCAAAAGGTTAATTTTAGGAATTTTATGCCTTTTAAGCATACACATTACAGTACAACACTCTCGGTTTGATTCTGTGGCATTTTTAATTTTTAATCAAATAATATTTTCAAACAGCTATATTGTATTTGGCCTTTACCTGATGTAAAAGTGTGCAATAACATTAATCACATTTAAATATTTTTACTTGTATTAAAAATTATTAATAATAATCATAATTAATAATAATTAAATTATTAAAAACTTTCTTTGTTCTACTGCAATAACAAAGCCTGATTTGCGTGATTTTGTAACTGGAATAAACACAATGCAATTTATTTTTTTACTTTTTTTGTTTGCAGTAATTTTATTAATTTATTTTCTGATCTGTCAAATGTTCTTTTGATATCTGAAAATGTTTGTCATGTTCTAATGTGACTACTGAAATAAGTACTAGAAGAATCGGAATCGTTAAGAGGAAATAGAATCTTTAAGATGAATCAGAACCGAAAGCGTTGATGCTCATGCTTACGCGCATGTTCCTTTAAGTGCGCAGGAACAGATCACAGTAGTGACGCTCTGCTTCTCGCGCCTGCCGCAGCCTAATGAACCTCGCCTCTTGCTGCGGTCTCACAACAAAACAAAAGGTCTTAAAATCCGCGACATATGTTAAAAAACGATAGATCACCACAACCAGAATGACGGAGACCAATAAAACGCATGTCATTTTGCTGTCATGTGGAAGTTTCAACCCCATCACGAGGGGACACATTCATATGTTCGGTAAGTATTTCGCCTGTTCTGGAGGGAGTGGATGATGCGCGAGCTGATTTTTAATTCAGCCGTGTGTTGTGTGTGTATGTAAAGGGTTCATGGTGACCGTGATGATTTCAGACATCGTGAAGTCCGGCTTGATGATCGGTTAGTTGTTTCTGTAGTGAATTATTATTGTTGATCGCTGTCCAAAGCGAAGGTGCTGAAATGGGCGACGGCCTCAAAACCCAGAATGATCAAATCATCTCTCGGTTCAGATGGTGGTGCTGCGCAGCCGCAGGTTTAGCAAAGAAATCGCTATATTCATCCACGGTTTTGTGGACGCAAGCAGTATAACTATGATTTATGATATTTCAACAAGTGTAATTAATAATTACTTCTGCGAAGGGTGCGTGGCATGCTAGGGCGCTTATGTGAAGACAAATAACAATCGGTACATTTAACGTAACGTGAATGTGAATAAGTATATTTAAACTCGAATGTCCTGTTAAGAGGCTTTATTGACCGACCTTGCGTCATATAGGACATTAAATGAGGAAGGAGGTTTTGATATCAATTTAGGCCTATGGCTATTGAAATACATTTAGTGCTAGGTTTAATCTATGTATTTAAATATTTAATTTATGTTTGCATCCATTTAACTTCCCAAAATAATTTGTCTTGTCTACTTGATTTTACAAGTTTTCAGAGATTCATCTTGACTTTTTACTTTGTTATTAATACAGTCCAAAGTGGTTGAAAATTTCATAATCATATCACCGCAGTTTGTCATTAATTTACATTTTACTTTAAAAGAAAGCAGTTTATTAAACATTCCATTCAAACTTCAATTTAGTATTGGGATGAATGCTTTATACCTTTATACCACAATATATTGAACAGATGTAGGAAAGGAAGGAAAGGATGTGACATGTGGCCCATCCAAGTGCACACACACAGCAGTGAGTAGTGAACAAACACGGGTGAACACACACCCGGAGCTGTGGGCAGCCAATGCTGCGGCGCCCAGGGAGCAGTTGGGGGTTCGGTGCCTTGCTCAAGGGTCTCACCTCAGTCATGGTATTCAGGGTGGAGAGAGTGCTGGATATTCACTCCCCCCACCTACAATCCCTGCCGGACCTGAGACTCGAACCCACGAGCTTCAGGTTATAAGTCCGACCCTCTATCCATTAGGCCACGACTGCCCCCTTATATGTCAAAGCATGAAAACCTTTAAAAAATATTATTTTAGAATTATTAAAATTAATAAGACAGAAGGTCACTGCTCCATAAACATTTTTGACAAAAAAATAAAATAAAATAATAATAATACAAAAATAAAATAAAAACCAAAAGACCAGCGTTTTACTAAGCCCACCATGGGTAGTTAAAAGAATAAAAAAATTACCACGTAAATGAACCTGTATATGCCCATATGTTCCATTTGGGTAGCTCTGGGGTCTTGCTCAGAAATAATGGTTTGATACTTCATGACTTTAAAATTATAAACAAAATTTATGCTTAATTTATCCTTCAATAAATACTGATATGTGACCCATGTTTTGGGACCTCAGGTATAAAACATGAATAAATGCAATGCATTTTCACATGTTAAGATGTTCACTACTGTCTGATGTTTATTTCTGATTCATTTCATTGTATTTTCTATAATGACAGAATATTGAATGAATTTGTCTGAAAAATTCATGTCTACTTTGTGATAAGTTTTAGGTCAGAGGAACATGTTAAAAATCTATTGATATAAATTTGTATTTTAAATCAAGTCAAGTAAATTTCAAAAGAACATGAGAGTTAAAGCTTGGCTGTTTGCACTGAAAAGCATGATTTATAGCATCATGCAGTTTGTGATATAGAAATTAAGAGTGCATGTAGGAAAGTAAAAGACACTCAGAGAGAGATTTCTTCCATTGGCTCATCCATCTCCACATTTCAATGTGCCAATAAACATAGCAGGGAAAAAACCTTAGGAGCTTGGTACTTTCTTTAATTCAGTTACTGCAGCTGTATTTCTCCGAGCGTAAGCAACATGAGGAGTACCACCACCACAGTTTGATCAATACAATTCCACTGCTTTTCCCTTGAAGCAAAAGCATCTGTGTGTCCGTGACATACTTTTTAAGCCTTCTTCTCCTACTGCATGCCTTTGCATATATTGAGGTACAAAAATAAGAACGGGTTTATGGCTTATTCTGAGCAATGCTTCTGACGGAGATCAGTGGTATCATGCTGAACTGCTTGGATATCTGATACTACTAAAAATACAATTAAATATAATACATTTAAATGGTAGCATTTCATTTATTAAGTAGTGAATATCTTGGTTTCTGTTGCCTCTGCTTTTTGTTGTTGTAATGTGGGGTTTGGTGTTTGGGTTTTGTTTCATGTTCATGTTTTCCATGTCTTTTATTTTGTAATTGTTTTATGCTGTTAGTGTCATGCTTCCCTTGCCCTCTTGTATTCATGCCATTGGTTCCTCTGTTCATTGTGTCATGTTCTGATTGGTTGTCTTAGTCATGTGTCTTGTTTCCCTGTTCATGTCAAGTCAAGTCTGTTCATGCCTCGTCAAGTCAAGTCAAGTCTGTGTCTCTAGTCTTCGTTTATTGTTTGGATGTTTGGATCACTCTGTAAATAAACTGCACTTGGGTTCTCACTTCAACTCGCCTTCAGTGGACTAATTCGTTACAGTTGTGGCCTCATTTTTCCTTTCTTTGTAGTTTCTTTTCCACACTAGAGATATTTTCTTTAGAGATTTGTTCAGATTATTTCATTTTATGTCTGCCTCATATTCCCCAGCAGGAGATCTTGTTTCTGCCATTCACTTCTGTCAATATTTTGATGGGGCTGGGGGTGTGAGGATATATTAGACAGATATGCTTACATCGTGAGAGAAATCAGATATCAGTCATCAGAGTTAAAACAGAGGTGCTGTCTTCACTTAAAAGGCCTTGTTTAGCTTTTTTATGTCTCTAAGAGAGTTCCGTTCATCCAAGCTACCTTTAGAACATGGCATAAAGTGTGTTACAGAAAACAAAAAATGCTCATGAGATAATAAGGTAAACTGTTTGGTTTGCAGAAAAAGCCAGAGATTACCTACACAAGACTGGACGATTCATTGTGATTGGGGGTATCATCTCACCAGTACATGATTCCTATGGCAAACCGGTAAGAGAATCTGTTTGTTTTAAGGTCTAAAGTTATTTTAGTGTTGTATATTTAAGCAATATCACAGGAGCAGATTACTATTGATTTTTATATTGTAGATAATCACACCCATGTCGATGTTGAGGCCAACATCACATGTAGAATTGCAGTTCAATAAACAAAAATTTATAGTAGATATTGAAAAACTTGTATTTTTATATAGATACATTACCAGTTGCTTTGTCTATTTTTGCTTTGCCAACTAAAATTGCCCATACATGGCTCCACTGTGAATCTTTGAGCAACACAAGTAGTGGTGTTCCTGAATGAATCATTGTTTTTGAATGAGGAAATGATTCAGTGACTTATTCATAAAGACACTTGTTTCGTGCCCTAAAAATGAATCATCATTCTTAAGACTATCACTTGATGCCATCTACTGGTGTATCTATGTAACCTGCAGAAAGAGTCCCCACAAAATCCCCATACAAACAGTGGACTGTTACATCACGTTAACAAAATTTTGCAGTCGAAATAGGTCTATTATAGGTCTATTACACAGTTAATACATAGTAATAGGTCTATTACACCGCTGAAATATTAGTCACTTAAGTCATCAAACAGGTTTTGCTGCGAATTTGCATGACCAACTCAAACCTGTTGCGAAATCTGTGTGGGGAAATCTTTCCACCTGAGATTCCAGATTGCGTGGATTCCTACTGAGCTGCATTGCTGAACAATGGTTTTAATAAAGGTTTTAATCTGAATCATACAAATCATCTCTAATAATATCAACAGAACTCTGAATTAAAAAGAACTTTGGCCTAGTTTTCTTCTCTCTTAGCAACAAAATATGAATAATAAATGCTTTATAAAGCAGGATTCAGTCATTCCAACTTAAATCCTTTAGTGGTGGGAGAGGAATAACACGTGTGAAAGCTACAATTCTACTTTTGAACCCTGATTATCTAAAAAAGGCAAATTTTTAATAATTGCTTTTATGTTGGATCAAATAGGTTCTCCTTCTTTCAGCAAGCAGATGCAAACAATTCTACTTTTGAACCCTGATTATCTAAAAAAGGCAAATTTTTGAATAATAGCTTTTATGTTGATCAAATAGGTTCTCCTTCTTTCAGCAAGCAGATGCAAACCTAAGAATATAGTTTGAAGCTCAGAAGTTCTCTTTACTGGTAGGTGGATGCCTAGAGGACTCACTTTGCCTTGTTTTGGTTTCTTTTCTGCTTTTCAAGGGCCTTGTCTCAAGCAGACATCGTCTCACCATGTGTCAGCTGGCAGTTCAGTCTTCTGATTGGATCAGGTAACTGTCAGAATGCATCTGCTACAATTCTACTTTTGAACCCTGATTATCTAAAAAAGGCAAATTTTTGAATAATAGCTTTTATGTTGATCAAATAGGTTCTCCTTCTTTCAGCAAGCAGATGCAAACCTAAGAATATAGTTTGAAGCTCAGAAGTTCTCTTTACTGGTAGGTGGATGCCTAGAGGACTCACTTTGCCTTGTTTTGGTTTCTTTTCTGCTTTTCAAGGGCCTTGTCTCAAGCAGACATCGTCTCACCATGTGTCAGCTGGCAGTTCTTTGCAATACAATATGAACACAATAAGTACATTGTACTTAATTTTTGATGTAAGTACATAGTAGTGTCAGACTCTGTTCCATGTGTTGTGTGTGTCCTGCTTCCCATGTGCCTTCCCATGCCCTTATTTGATTAGTTTCCTGTTCC